AGTTTAATCCCTTGACAAAAATATTTAGTTCATCAATTAAAGATAGTATCAATAATTTAGTCTCTTTTTTTAAGATATTCTAATCGGTTCATCGCTTCGCGACTAGTCCGATTCAGGATGAATTTCGAAATTAAAGCTTTAAATTCCTTCCAAAGACGGTACTGGGGAGGATCGAATACATACTCTCACTTCACCTACTTAGTTCTCTGGCGCCAACTAAGCTACCATAATTTGGTTTTAGTCTTTAAATTATAAGTTTTTGTTAGGCGGAGCAGGGAAGCTCATGGTGGAGAATAATCATCAATGAGCTCAACTATACTAACCATACCAAGTGGGTTCGACGATATGTTTCAACCCCAAATCTTAAGATATTGAGTTCATGGCTCCTCTTACTTATATGGACTTCACTTAATCCATTATCAACTAATATGAAACTTTATCACACTTGAATATTCTAACAGTCTCCCCTTAAAGTGTGAAACTCACATTAGTGTGCTCCTCCATTCTGAGTACTTCAGGCCCAAGTACTCAGCCAACCTCTAACCGAACACTTGGTTAACTTGAGTCCAACCTGTTTCTAATACCATTGTCAGAAGGACGAGGGAAGCCCATGGCATCCAGAGGTGGCAAAGCAGGCAACTTGCTCCGTTTTTTAAAATGGGTTGAGAAACTCAATCCGACCTGCCAACCTGCCACAATAACAAATATGATAAGCCTTCCATAACTGTATAAAGCCTTATTCCTATAAAATACACTATAATTTAGTTTGGTAAACAATACCTTTCTTTCATCTTCTTCTTGGATTGTCTCCATGTGTGGGTTTGAAGCGGGAAGCACACATACTAATTCTTATCCAACCCAATCCAATTCCACGAAATAAAAAAGAAATCACTATATCATAAAAATTTATTAGTACTGTGAATATGAAAGACTGAATAAATACCATTATCATAACCTTTGGCCTAATTAAGGGTCACAATTTGTATCAAGGAATTTGGTCTTGCGTTAAGATCTGACACAAATACGTTTGACACGATCACAACACAAATTAAGGTTCACATCAAAATCTTAGACATGAAGACGACCCATTTATTTTGTGGATTGATACAACACAATATGAATAACTCATTAACCTTAAAGTTTATGAGTTATTACGCGGGTTAACATGACATGACCCTATACAAACAACCTGTGCACTGAATATTATTTTTACCAATGCTATATTGATATTACACGACACAAATAACTTGAAAGAAGATTAACGAGAATTGATACCATCTTTGCGAGTTGACACACAATACGACACATTTTTTGAGTTAATTTTTGCTAATACAATACAACACGAATTTGGAAGTAGGTTGACTTGAACAAGATATTTTCGTATCGTGTTTATATCATGTCAGTGGATCGTGTTGAAAATTGCTACCCTTAGTTAGGCCTAACACCTAATTAACATAAACCTAATTTGACTTTTACTTAGAGCTCTAAGAGCCTGTTTGATGGGCTTTTTTTCCTCTAAGAGTTGTTTTTTTCAGCAAAAAAAGTCATTCTCACTACAAACAAGTGTTTGTTTATCTTCTTTTAAAAAAATGAGAAGTCACAAAAAAGCCAAAATATGTTTTTTAAAAGCTAAAATTTTTAGCAGAAATCAAAAGCCATTTTTTTAAAAAAAAAAAAAATCAAATGTACTCCAATTCCAACCAATCTCACATCCCTCGTTGTTATCATTATTGCCACTGCCACCATCACCACCACACCACACCAAAACCACCTACACCATCGTCGCCACCACCACAACCACCTCAATCCCAACCAATCTCACATCCCATCGCCACCTCCTATACCATTTTCGTCGTTGCCACCGCTGAGAAACCCTTGGCTTAACATGTTTTTAGGCTAATTTATACAAGAATTACATAAAAAGATTGCATGGAAATTAAGGTTTTACATTATAAAATCATAAAGATTGGATTTTTAGCTAGCATGTTGTAATCTTGCTTATTTTGAAGGTATTTTAACATAAAAGAATGCTTAATGGAGCAAAGGAATGAAAGGAGATGTTTGAATACCAAAGAAAGTCTAAAGAAAGCAAGTTACAAGCAAGTCACAGGCTGATGAAGAGCATTTTAGCGCCCAACAGCGCGCTAAAGAAGCAAAATAGCAAAAATTCACTGGAGGAGCACGTTTTAACGCGCTACAGAGCGCCAAAACGCGCTGGTAACAACAAAAGTTCATCTCGAAGAGAACGTTTTAGCGCCGTGATGAGCGTTAAAACGCTCTAAAGCAGACAGAATTATCCCGTGAGAGCGTTTTAGCGCTCTAATGAGCGCTAAAACGCGTTGATACGTCCAACTTTAGGCCCATATTAGATTTTGTATCCTAATCAAGAGATGAACAAAGATTTCATGGAGATGTGAATATAAATTAAAAGATATGTTTCTCCTCTATAAATAAAGGGCCTTGGGATCAATTGGGGAAGGATTCAACGGAGAAAGTTTGATGAATCAAGAGGAGGAATCCTATTGCGGAGCAGTGGAACGCTGAAGATTCATGACGACATCACACCAATGGAGTCTTGGAGAATTATTTTCTTTCCAATTGTTTTTTATTTCAATATGCTAGGCTAAGTTTTTATGTAGTTAGGGGTAGATGAAACCCAATTGAATATTGTGTTATGAATTAAATTATTTCTGAATTCTTCTCTTTTTATATTTGAATGAATCTATCTGTCTTTAATGTTTTCTATGAGTTTTCTCCTTATAGATTGATTTAGGGGAATTGTATGACAATATGAATGTTGGTGCATGAACCCTGATTTGATAAATTCATCATAATTCTTGTGATCTAGGGATAGATATAGGGCAATTGTGCAATCTTTCAATTCTTGATCTTAATGCATGTTTTCTTAGGGAATAACCGTGGAACTAAAGTTCTTCCAAGATCACATAGATTTAGGGTAACAAGGAATTGAGCCTTAATTAACTTAAAAAGAATTGATTGACATTATATTAGGAGCAGATTCTTGATTATTTAATTCATAGCATAAACAATAAATTGAGGGAAGTCGAAACCCTAACTACGCTTGTTCTTGATCTTTAAACAAATTGTCTTTTCAATTATTTTTAATTCTGAAATTACATGTTATTGATTGTTTTTAATTTAAATTCTCTTCATTTCAATCTTGGTTGTCCAACTAAACTGCGATTAGTGAACTAGTGCTTGAAACCAATTCTTGTGGGAATGATCTCGTACTCCGGTACAGTTTATTACTTAACGACCGGTGCACTTGCCGAGTAGCAACAACCACCATCATCACACCCTATCATGACTACCACCAATCACCATCACCATCACCATCTCGACCACTAACACCACCATCGCGCCCATGATTTATTTTCTCATGTCCTTTTTAATAATTTTATACATGAAAATTACTTTTAATTTTAACATTAAAATAATATGTTTAGTTAAAAGCATTTTTCATATACAACATCTAAAATAAATGATATATAATTTTTTTTTTTTTTTAAAAAGACCATGTCCAAATATAAGAAACCTTCGAGATCATGCTTAAGAAAATCTTTGGAATTTATTAATATTCTTGTTCATGGATAAATATCTTTGGGATTTGATGTTAAGAAACTTTTTCGCTCCGTGACAGGTAGTTTCTGATAATTATTTTAAAATTCCACATTATTTTTTTAATGAATAAAATTCCACATTATATTTTGGTTGATGATAAAATGTTCTATTTTAATAAATTTTTATACAAAATTATTAGGAATATTTGGTAACTTATTATGATTAAAGGGAAAATAAATAAATTAGAAAAAGTAACGAATAAATAAGAAAAAGAAGAAGAAGTTTCTTTTGACTTTATTCTTTCGCAAGACACGGTAACCTTCCGGTAGGTGCTAAATGAATCAGGGGCCTTTGCTCGGCTCTTGAAGGCTTGAGCTTATATGTTCTAAAATATGTTGTCGGTTCAGACTCGAACTTGTATAAAAGCTCGTTTAATAAAAAGGTCGCAAGCTCCAATTCAAAAGCTCGGCCTTAGAGCATCCCAGGCTTGCCTAGTATATTATTATTTTTTTTATTTTATATTTTTTATACTACTTGTAATAGCCCTCTCTTTCTCCTCAATCCATTTCACCCTATTTTATTGGTTAAACAGACTTTTTAAATGATTTTTTTTTATATTATGCTATTTGGATATACATTGAATTTATGAAATTACTTGTGTCGTTGATTGTATATTACTTTTGGATGAATTTTTGTTTTGCTTATTTTTTTTAAACAGGCTAAATTAGACTTTTAGTTTTTGTAAATAAAACAGGCTGACACATTTAATCACAGACTTAACATTTTAAGATCAAAGTTCGGCTCTGCCCGTTAACACCCTACCTTCCTTCGAGTAGGAAGAAATGTGTTTTCATTTTCAACAAGCAAAGGCCAAAGGTTGTTGAAAATCAGACGATCCATATGGAAACTGAAAAGCAGTCGAGTTGAGAGTGGCTCTGTTCCTAAAGAAACGGTAATTAATTTCTTGATTGTGTTACGTAACTTACCAAGTTGCTTTTGCTTGCCACCTACCTGCATATGTTGCGTTGCTCCCTCCCATGAGACTGCCACATGTGAAGCATTGCATGGTTCTAATATATACTAGCACCATCGCCATAACCATGAATAATAGAAACAGCTTCTGATTCTGACTGAAACCATTCAATTCAACAAGCATTGCCATGGCCACAGCCACAGCCACAGACAAGGATTATTATGGTTTGAGGTACCTGATTGTGCGTCCAGAAAAAGCTGGCTTTTGGGACTTGATGCGATATGCCGTCCTGGGAGACCTTCAGAGCTTTTCCAGGTTTGTGGACACCAACACCTATCACTATCAGGAGACAGCCGCCGCGTTGGTGGGTCCCACTCCTGATCACAGATGGATCATCCTCATTTCCATTCTAGCTCGCAAAATCATTGCTTTCTTCGCTATACCTATGGAGTGGACTGGCTCCTTCTTGGATTTTCTGCTCAATCTTTTGTCCCAGAATGGTTACTTCTTTGGTCTACTTCACAACTTGATACATGGTATTATTCTTTTCATCGATTTATCAAACAATTTACTTACGTGCCATAAACATAACTTAATGAATTGGCTTATTTGAAGGGACAAGAGCCCCATTTGTTTTGAATTCAACACATTTCTCATGCTTAGTTGGGAAACTGATTTCCAAGAGCTCATACCCATTGCATGATTGATAGTGGCTAGAATTGCATTTTGAACAGGAAAAGTCGTGGTACCTCAGAGGGGTACAGAAACTTTTATAAGTACAATTGGTCACTTGGACAGGAGGATTGACCTGTATAAGCCCCAAATATTAGCAGAATTTGTAAGGGAGGAGGAGGAGGGAGGCTTCAAACCAGAAATGGGGAACAGGGCTTTAATGGACCTCTGCATGATGGCTTCCAAGTTAGCATACGAGAATGCCCAAGTCATCAAAAATATCGTCAATCACCATTGGAAGGCAAGTTGCTCTAACACTCCTCAAATTTATAGGTTTTTTTAGTGTGTACGTTTAAGAGAAGAAAGTAACATAACATCTGTGTCTTTCGAATTACAGATGCACTTTGTGGGCTTCTACGACTGCTGGAATGGTAAGACCTGATAGGAGAAGTACTATATAGTATTGCATTATCTACATTGAAAACTGTTGAGATATATAAACTCCACGTTAGTTGTATTTAGTTGTATAAAGCCTATTAGGTCAAGTATTAAGTTTTTCATTCATATAAATAGAGACCTCTTTGTACAGATTATTCACACAATTCAATAATATTTCAAATACCCTTTTCTTTCGAGTAAAACTATTGACCTTCTCTACCTTTTCTTACTTCTGGACTCATAAATTTATAGATTTCCAGAAAGAGATGTCCACTCAAGTGTTTATTCTCTGTGACAAGGCCAAAGGTGCAAATTTGATATTGGTCAGCTTCAGGGGCACTGAACCTTTTGACGCTGATGATTGGAGTACTGATTTTGATTATTCCTGGTATGAGATCCCAAAAATAGGAAAAGTTCACATGGGATTCCTAGAAGCCCTTGGTTTGGGAAATAGAGTTGAACCTGCCACCTTCTACTTTCACCTTCGAGGGAAAAATAGAAAATCAGGCTCTCCTAATGATGTCAATAATGGAGCTTACTCTTCAAAACATAACTCTGAATCATTGTTCTCAGGCATTGATTCTGATACGGATGATCAATCTTCCATTTCTGAAACTCTACCGGAGAAAATGGAGATGACTGCGTATTACACTGTAAGGAGCAAACTCAAAAGTTTATTAAAGGAGCATAAGAATGCAAATTTCATCGTTACTGGGCATAGCTTGGGTGGAGCACTCGCCATATTGTTTCCAAGTGTGCTTGTGTTGCATGAGGAGATGGAGATAATGGAAAGGCTGCTTGGTGTATATACTTTTGGGCAACCCAGGATTGGGAATAGGCAGCTTGGAAGATTCATGGAAGCTCATTTGGAACGCCCTGTTCCAAAGTACTTCAGGGTGGTCTACTGTAACGATCTTGTCCCCAGGTTGCCTTACGATGACAAAACCTTCTTGTACAAACATTTTGGAGTGTGCCTTTACTACAACAGCTTTTATACAGAAAAGGTAGGTATTTTTCTGTCTTCACTTTCTTACTTTTTGTTGTTTTTATCATTTGTCATTGTGTATGTAAAAAATCAATTCAACTAAAAAGGTTAAGTTGTTAGGTGAGAGTCTATTTAATGGTCTATATTATATTATAACAGAATCTATTGGGCTAAGAAATTCCATAAGAAAAAGTGAAAGAAAATGAAGATCGAAATTATATTATAACAGAGCCTATTGGGCTAAGAAATTCCACAAAAGCTATTGGACTAAGAAATTCCACAAAAGAAAGTAAGGGGTGATGAGGGCCGAACTCGTGACTACTTGGTTACGGAGACTCTTGATATCATGTAAAAAATCAATTCGACACAAAAACTTAAGTTGTTAAGTGATAGTCTCTTTAATGATTTATATTATACTCTACCACTCCATTTCCATATACCTCTTATTTTACCTAAGAGGCTCATCAAATCATTCTTGCATATATTTATATTCTATGAAGTGGGGTAAAGGTGGAAATTATCTCTCACTGATTCTCTGTTGTGTTTGTACACTCCTTCATTTAATACTAAAAAGCTATGGGATTAATAAATTAAGTTCAGTTCATAAAGAAGTTACTATGTTATTTCATCTCACATTTATCAAATTCAATAATTTATATTCTTTAAAGTATTTACCTTTTTTTGTCTCTCTTTTTTATCCATCATCAAAGAAAGTGATGGAGGAGCCGAATAGAAATTTCTTTGGAATGAGATTCATATTATCAGAACATGTGAATGCTGTTTGGGAGCTAATTAGAGGCTTAACGATAGGGTACGTTGAAGGACCAGAGTATACGGAAGGCTGGTTTCGCATATTGGCAAGGGTAATAGGACTGGCGCTCCCTGGTATGTCGGCACATTGTCCCACAGATTATGTCAATTCTATAAGACTTGGAAAGGAAAGCTCCATTCAAATGTCTTCTATCCAAGAACTCTAAGAATTTTTCTATTCCCAAAGGTTGCTCGGTTTTGTTTTGTCAGGGTTCTAAAGTTCATACATGAACGTCTATGCTTAATGCTTGTGGTTCATTCTTTCATTTGCAAGATTTTTTTTTTTTCCGTGATGTCTTTTATGTTCCTGATGGAGAATCTATTATAATTACCAATAGGTGAAAACTTGAAATCAATGTATATATTGCAAGATTTTGTTTAAAGCAATCGTGGTAGATGAACTGCCCTTTTTCCTCATACTGAGTACAAACATGTATATTCGTGCTAACAAAAATAAATAATAGCTATTAGGAAATATTTCCATGGTCAACAATCAACATCTAAACTACAATTAAAATATAACCGATGATAAAGGTATGTGAAGCTAGTATGAAGTTTTGAATTATCATGTTTGTGACGTGTTATTTCAAGCGACATTATTGAAGTATCAATTTTTACATGCACAGGTGACGATTCAGCAGTCTTCCTGGGCACTTAAATACATATTTCCCGAAGAAAAAATATAGCACGCTTTCAGGGGTGCTTTATTAGTCCGTAACGCAAGACTCTCAACAACAAGAATTTCTGATTCTAAATCTCAAATGGTAATCCTCTTACAAAAAATTCAAAATAAAAAATGTTGTGCAAAGAAAGAGCAAAAGCATGAGAAGGAATCCCGTCCATAGTAGCGTTCAGTGCCCAGTTAACAGTAAAAAGTCCACTACTACCAATGGTCTAAAAACTTATTTAACAGCTCTGTGTCGTGAGATCACTTTCTATTGGCATGACATAATGACCAATTACTGGGTTCGCTGAAATTGGTCTATATTAGGTTTATGCAGTGGCATTAGACTGTATGAGCTGATTGGATTAGATTCAGGTCTAAATTTTTAAGCCTAACAACAGACTCTACATGTCCTCTGAGAGTGTGTATCTCCCCCAGCCTGCAAAGTTTCATGCATTTTGAAAATTTAAATTAGAAAAATGCTTTCCATACCAATGCCTAAGTTTAATATGAATGAATAACACAGCATTGTTTAAGTGGGGGGATCAAGGGTGTTATGGAGAAGGCCTTCCAGAAGCAATAAATGTGAGCCAAATTATAGAGATCCTGAAAGAGAGACTGTTAAGAAGAAAATAAGTAATGAGCAGAAATTAAAACTAAAAAGTACCTGGCTATTTCAGCACGTCGCCTGGCCTGTTCGGCTATCAAAGAAGGCCTCCTTCCACTGACCTCCAAGTCTGTGTCCATCAGATTGAGTCCTTGCAGACTCCTCTGGGAAAGAACCCATTTTGCAGTCCTATCTTCCTTCCCATAGTCTTTCTTAGATGTAAAAGCAGTCTGTTAAAACACACAAGTTACATTTCATCAGTAGACAATAAGCAAAGGCATATCTTAATGGGACAAAACTAAAAAGGCCAAAATGGAAGCACCTTTCTGTCAAACAGGAGATTCCAGGCTTCTCCACTCAAAGCATAGCGCACTGTGAACTTAATGATGTCCAAGGGTACATAGAAGATTAAACTGTATAACCATATAATACCAGCCCATCCCCATCCAATTCCTGTAATTTTAGCAAAACTGATGCTTGCATAAACAGCAATTAAGGTGGCCACCTGACCAATTGATGCATAAAAACAACCCGTTATTCAAAAGCAACAAAATTTTTCTGGATTTCCCTATCAGATTTATGCAATGAACTTGTTAAAGGCTTAAAGCTACTGCTTCTGCATCTATTTGAGCAACCTTACCAGTTGAGCTATTACAAAGGCGCACATCAGTAGAATTCCAGGTCTCTCTAGAAATGACCAACCACGACTACGAGTAACAAAAATTAGAGCCTGGCTAATGATGCTAACTTGCAGATATATAGCAGATGAAACTTTCTCACTGTCGCTGGATAAGGAGCTTACATGGAAGTGAGTCTGCAGCAACACATTATTTAGCTTAAAGATGTTTATTGAACGAAATCAAATTTTCATTGGAGGCTTGAAAAAAAAAGAGAAACATAAAGTTTTGTACCTCGAAGAAAGTTGTCTCGACTATTGCCCAGTAGAACAGGACTGTAACCAAAGCAAGATAAGTGCCAATGACTACTCCTGTTGCAAATATCTCAGGCAGCTTCCAACTGTCAGGTGTCGGGGATGGCTTTACTCTGTCTTTTGATATGGTCATGATAGTACCTAATTAAAAACAGTTATAAGTAATTCACAAAAAAAAAAAAAAAACAGTTATAAGTACAAACCTTACATATCAGTATATCACTTATTTGTCCAAATTGCCTAATTACTGTTATGTCTATGATTTGTTATATCCCAGTCTGCAAAGAGTTTTGTTATTCTTTAGTTGTATAGGGAACAAAGCAAAACTGTTTCTGTTAAAAACTTCTGCTATTTACTCAAATGAAGAAAAGTATAGATAAACAAAATATTGAAATATGGATAATCGTTTATGATCACTAGGAATTTTCTGTTTTTGGCTATACCATAAGCGAATCCCCATGTTAGTATTCGTGCAAACTGAGATTAAGTAGTTAAGATACAGAATACACCTTCTTAATCACTAGGTCAACCCTCTTGGGGTGTATTATCTAAGATTTTATATCCACTCTTTTTTTGAAATACATTTTATATCCACTCTGAAGCTAGAATTGTATATCTTTGCAAAATTTGCTCTGTGAAGGAACAAACAATACAGAGGGGATGCTCTAAAACCAAGGGGAAAATATAGTGTTTTGATTTTCCTCATAACTTTATAATGAATATAATATTCACTTTTATATTCTCAAATAGTCACCCAAAATCGGTGACTATAGTTTTCATCGATCATTTAAGTATGTACTTTCAGAAGAAAAGGAAAACAGAAGCTAGTTTTATTGTTCAAGTTCATATTCCTGGAATGGAAAAATTTATCTATGACGTATTACCATCATTCAATATTGCAATGATCAGGACCATGAAAGGCGGAAAATCATACTCCCAAATCAATGCTAGGAGCGCAAAACCAAGCTGCAAGAGGGTTTAGTTTGACAAGTTATATTGTAGTCCAAAGGCACTTTAAATACAAGTCCAAGATAAGGAAAAACGAAAGCTCTAAAAAATGACATTGAAATAGGAGATAGAAACTTACCACTATCCTTATGGTGATGGAAACTGCATATATCTGCATTTAAGAGAGCTATCAAATTACATCAAATAAATATGAAATCACGAAAGACATTATTTGAGTTATTACTGGTTATTTCACTTACAACCGATGCTGCTTGTTGAGATATATAGTCCCACATTGGTTGAAGAGCAACTAATGTGGAGTTTATAAGGCCTTGGCACTCCCACCCTTTGAGCTAGCTTTTGGGGTGGTGTATCCCAAGGTTCTTTACATGGTATCAGAGCTTGAGGTTCGATTCTCACCGCCCCTCACTTTAAAGTGGAAGCACAAAAGGTAAACCAAAGATTGGGCCTGTTGCATAATCCACGCTTCAAGCCAAGAGGGCTCTTGCGTGAGGGGGCGTGTTGAGATATATAGTCCCACATTGGTTGAAGAGCAACTAATGTGGAGTTTATAAGGCCTTGGCACTCCCACCCTTTGAGCTAGCTTTTGGGGTGGTGTATCCCAAGGTTCTTTACACTGCTTTTCGGTTTGACACTATGACTACGTTCTAGAAGTTACTTTCATATTGAGTAATATAATATATAAAAGCAGAAAGGTGAAGTTCTTCTATGATAATATAGAGGTTAAAAGGAAGATTGCACACTCAACTGTATAATTTTTCATTCTTTGGAATATAGCTCGGCTAGTTAACACAGCACTAATAATCACACTTAAACCGGGCTCCGTTAAGACCAGATCAGCAGCACCTCTTGCGGCATCTGTAGCATCTGACACAGCTATTCCAATATCGGCTTTCTTCAATGCTGGAGCATCATTTACTCCATCTCCAGTCATTCCAACAACATGCTCCTTTTCTTGTAAAATTTTTACTATCTCATATTTATGTTCTGAAAGTATGCATTGATAAAATAATCAGTAAATGGATTTGGTGAAGAGCATCGAAAATGATAGATAACCACATACACAAGAAATTCGTCCAAAAGTTTTGAACTGGACAACATAACTGGTGTTAAGCACTCCAAACTGGGAATTCTTTTCAAACATAGATCACTTCTTATTTTGATGGAAAATATGAATAGTGCAGACTATGGGTTACTTTACATAACTTATATTCGATCAACAAATTATCCATATTATTTGTGTTGGAAATTCAAGTGTGAGTGATAAAAAGTCCCACATTGGAAAGGAATGGGCTAAGCATAGTATATGTAAAGAGCCAATTCAACCAAAAAGCTTAAGTTGTTGGGTGAAGCTACATTAATGGTTTTTTACAGTATATTTAAGTGAAACGACCCATATACCCAATGCCTTAAGGTTTTGGGTTGAGATATGGTGGCAGACCCCGTGTTGTGGATTTGTCACTTAGGCTTATTTGATGTGTGGATGGTAGTCTCCCCTAATTGGGCTCCCCCTGGTCGCTGCCCAACTCTGGTATCAGAGCCAATAGTTGATTGGCCTGGGTGTACCGAGTATTTGGAGATGATGGTTGGTATTCAGGTTTGTAGGCTGCGCAAACCCATATTGTGGACCAAAAGACTCTTGAAGAAGCTTCCGTTTGAGGGAGAGTTGACAATTGTAAGACTTACACTTGAGGGAGAGAATGTGAAGAATTCAAATATGAGTGATAAAAAGTCCCCTGCTGGGAAGGAATGGGCTAAGCATGGTACATATAAGTGAAAAGACACATAAACCCAATGCCTTGAGGTTTTGGGTTGAAATGTGGTGTCGGACCCCCTTGTGTGTTTGTCGCTTAGGCCCATTTGATGTGTGGATGGTAGTCTCCCCAAATTGGGCTCCTCTTGGCTGCTGCCCGACAATCTGGTGTATAGTTTTTGGAAGCTGTAAGGTTGGATAAACATTGGTCAATTGCATAAGATTTTGTACCGACAAGACATA